AGCTGCTGCCAGGCCCCTAATCTGCCATAGGCCCCTATATACCGCCTCCTCATGCTGCTGCCAAGTCCAGAGTCTCTCATGGGTCCCTGTACGGCCTCCCATTGCTGCTGCCAGGAGGCAGCAGGGTCGCAGCAGTGTCAGTGGAGGCAAACGGCCACGGAGTAGAGCACCAGCTCCACTGCAGCCTACCACCACACTGTGATGCCGGTGTGCAAGGAGGAAGTAGCAGTCAGCCAGTGAGGAGTAGCGGGGGCAAAGTTTCCTACTCGGGGGTGTGGCAATTTTTCGTCAAGCCGCCCGAGGAAGTAAACGTATGTCGACTATGTGGCCAGAAAGTCCTCAGCGTGGCCAGGGGGCCCATGTTGGGACTACAGCGTTGCGTCAGCATATGCAGCGTCGCCATTCGGTGGCCTGGGAAAACCGTGATAAAGATACGGCGGTTCTGCCTGCCCCAGCCCAGGGTTCCATTTTGTCATAGGGTGCTGGCAGATTACGAGCATCCCATTGCTGCTGCCAGGCCTTAATCTGCCATGGGACCCCTGTACCGCCCTCCTCATGCTGCTGCCAAATCCAGAGTCTCTCATGGGTCCCTGTACAGCCTCCCATTGCTGCTGTCTCCATCGCCACACTCTGCCATGTGCCACTTTCAGGTCTCCTCACACACTGCTGGTGTGTTGAATTTTTTGACATAGGGTGCTGGCAGATTACGGGCCTCCCATAGCTGCTGCCAGGCCCCTAATCTGCCATGGGCCCCTATATACCGCCTCCTCATGCTGCTGCCAGGTCCAGAGTCTCTCATGGTCCCTGTACGGCCTCCCATTGCTGCTGTCTCCATCGCCACACTCTGCCATGTGCCACTTTCAGGTCTCCTCACACACTGCTGGTGTGTTGAATTTTTTGACATAGGGTGCTGGCAGATTACGGGCCTCTCATAGCTGCTGCCAGGCCCCTAATCTGCCATGGGCCCCTATACCGCCTCCTCATGCTGCTGCCAAGTCCAGAGTCTGTCATGGGTCCCTGTACGGCCTCCCATTGCTGCTGTCTCCATCGCCACACTCTGCCATGTGCCACTTTCAGGTCTCCTCACACTGCTGGTGTGTTGAATTTTTTGACATAGGGTGCTGGCAGATTACGGGCCTCCCATAGCTGTTGCCAGGCCCCTAATCTGCCATGGGCCCCTGTACCGCCTCCTCATGCTGCTGCCAGGTCCACAGTGTCTCATGCCATGTGCCACTTTCAGGTCTCCTCACACTGCTGGTGTGTTCAATTTTTTGACATAGGGTGCTGGCAGATTACGGGCCTCCCATAACTGCTGCCAGGCCCCTAATCTGCCATGGGCCCCTATATACCGCCTCCTCATGCTGCTGCCAGGTCCAGAGTCTCTCATGGGTCCCTGTACGGCCTCCCATTGCTGCTGTCTCCATCGCCACACTCTGCCATGTGCCACTTTCATGTCTCCTCACACTGCTGGTGTGTTGAATTTTTTGACATAGGGTGCTGGCAGATTACGGGCCTCCCATAGCTGCTGCCAGGCCCCTAATCTGCCATGGGCCCCTATATACCGCCTCCTCATGCTGCTGCCAGGTCCAGAGTCTCTCATGGGTCCCTGTACGGCCTCCCATTGCTGCTGTCTCCATCGCCACACTCTGCCATGTGCCACTTTCAGGTCTCCTCACACTGCTGGTGTGTTTGAATTTTTTTGACATAGGGTGCTGGCAGATACGGGCCTCCCATAGCTGCTGCCAGGCCCCTAATCTGCCATGGGCCCCTATATACCGCCTCCTCATGCTGCTGCCAGGTCCAGAGTCTCTCAAGGGTCCCTGTACGGCCTCCCATTGCTGCTGTCTCCATCGCCACACTCTGCCATGTGCCACTTTCAGGTCTCCTCACACTGCTGGTGTGTTGAATTTTTTGACATAGGGTGCTGGCAGATTACGGGCCTCCTATAGCTGCTGCCAGGCCCCTAATCTGCCATGGGCCCCTATACCGCCTCCTCATGCTGCTGCCAGGTCCACAGTCTCTCATGCCATGTGCCACTTTCAGGTCTCCTCACACACTGCTGGTGTGTTGAATTTTTTGACATAGGGTGCTGGCAGATTACGGGCCTCCCATAGCTGCTGCCAGGCCCCTAATCTGCCATGGGCCCCTATATACCGCCTCCTCATGCTGCTGCCAGGTCCAGAGTCTCTCATGGTCCCTGTACGGCCTCCCATTGCTGCTGTCTCCATCGCCACACTCTGCCATGTGCCACTTTCAGGTCTCCTCACACTGCTGGTGTGTTGAATTTTTTGACATAGGGTGCTGGCAGATTACGGGCCTCCCATAGCTGCTGCCAGGCCCTAATCTGCCATGGGCCCCTATACCGCCTCCTCATGCTGCTGCCAGGTCCACAGTGTCTCATGCCATGTGCCACTTTCAGGTCTCCTCACACTGCTGGTGTGTTGAATTTTTTGACATAGGGTGCTGGCAGATTACGGGCCTCCCATAGCTGCTGCCAGGCCCCTAATCTGCCATGGGCCCCTATAATACCGCCTCCTCATGCTGCTGCCAGGTCCAGAGTCTCTCATGGGTCCCTGTACGACCTCCCATTGCTGCTGTCTCCATCGCCACACTCTGCCATGTGCCACTTTCAGGTCTCCTCACACACTGCTGGTGTGTTGAATTTTTTGACATAGGGTGCTGGCAGATTACGGGCCTCCCATTGCTGCTGCCAGGCCCGTAATCTGCCATGGGCCCCCGTACCGACTCCTCTTGCTGTGACGTTGCAACAAGGTGGAATTCAACCCTACATATGTTAGACCGCCTTTACGAACAGCAAAAGGCCATCACATATTTCCTGATGTTAAAAGCGGATAAAGGTACTCCCTGTGTAACTTAGATGTCAGCCATTGGCAGCTCATGCGTGACACCTGCGCTTGCTCAGGCCTTTGAGGAGGCCACGCTATTCGTGAGTCGGCAGGACTATGGGATGAACGACGTCATTCCTCTGTTGCACGTCCTGGAACAAATGCTGTTAATAATGGCTGGTCAGGGTGCGGTAGACGTGGCGCACAGATCTCAACGCCACATGACCCCTGTGGGGGCAGGACAGGAAGAAGAGGAGGAGGTAGAGGAGGACATTGGTGCTCAGGAATTATTGAGTGAAATGGGTGGTTTTTCCACTCAGCGGACAGGAGTGGAGGAGCAGGAGCATCTGGTAGAGGAGGAGGAAGAGGAGACAGAGGACCCAGACGCACCGTGGCAGTATGCTGTGGAGATGGAGGCAGGGAGTCCCTCGCATTCCTTGGCACAAATGGCCCATAGCATGCTCGCTTGCTTGCGTACCGACAGCTGAATAATAACCATCAGACAGAGGGATGACTTTTGGCTGTCCACCTTGTTGGACCCTCGCTACCGTTCCAAAATGGTGGCCTTTTTCACACCTGCTAAGAGGGAGGCCAAAATAACGTACTATAAAAACCACCTATGTAGTCAGCTGGTCTCTGCCTGTCTGCGCCAACGTCCATCCTCAGACACTGTGGGCCCTGTGCGCTCGCGTTACACTGCCATGGCAGCAGGGGAGGGGTGGGGTGGTAGGAGCAGTGGCAGCTCCACCAGCAGCAGCTGCCTCAGTCTGCAGTCGATGATGAGTAGCTTTCTTCACCAGCGCAGTGAGGAAACTAATAACCAGCCGCAGCAGCAGCAGCAGCATCAGGTGGACCTGGAGCAGGACCTCAAACAACAGGCTTAGGCCTACTTGGACAGCACCCTGCCAACCGAGGTAGACAATCCCCTTGAGTACTGGGCAACGAAACTTGACCTTTGGCCCCAACTAGCTGAATTTGCCCTTGAAAGGCTGTCATGCCCGGCCAGTAGCGTGGCATCGGAGCGCGTGTTTAGTGCGGCAGGAGGTATTGCAACTCCGCGGAGGACACGACTGTCCACCCAAAGTGTGGAGAGACTCACGTTTGTGAAAATGAATCAGGCGTGGATTAGTCTGGATTTCAAACCACCAGTTCCTGACACAACTGACTAAATCCGCCATGAATCATGCCCCAAACATGTGCCACTTTCAGGTCTCCTCACACTGCTGGTGTGTTCCATTTTTTGTCATAGGGTGCTGGCAGATTACGGGCCTCCCATAGCTGCTGCCAGGCCCCTAATCTGCCATGGGCCCCTATACCGCCTCCTCATGCTGCTGCCAAGTCCAGAGTCCAGGGTCCCTGTACTGCCTCCCATTGGCTCCCCATCGCCACACTCTGCCATGTGCCACTTTCAGGTCCTCCTCACACTTGGTGTGTTGAATTTTTTGACTGCTGCAGATTACGGGCCATAGCTGCTGCCAGGCCCTAATCTGCCATGGGCCCCTATACCGCCATGCTGCTTCAGGTCTCATCCACTGTACAGCCTGGCTGCTGTCTCCATCGCCACACTCTGCCATGTGCCACTTTCAGGTCTCCTCACACTGCTGGTGTGTTGAATTTTTTCACATAGGGTGCTGGCAGATTACGGGCCTCCCATAGCTGCTGCCAGGCCCCTAATCTGCCATGGGCCCCTATACCGCCTCCTCATGCTGCTGCCAAGTCCAGAGTCTGTCATGGGTCCCTGTACGGCCTCCCATTGCTGCTGTCTCCATCGCCACACTCTGCCATGTGCCACTTTCAGGTCTCCTCACACTGCTGGTGTGTTGAATTTTTTGACATAGGGTGCTGGCAGATTACGGGCCTCCTATAGCTGCTGCCAGGCCCCTAATCTGCCATGGGCCCCTATACCGCCTCCTCATGCTGCTGCCAGGTCCAGAGTCTCTCATGGGTCCCTGTACGGCCTCCCATTGCTGCTGTCTCCATCGCCACACTCTGCCATGTGCCACTTTCAGGTCTCCTCACACACTGCTGGTGTGTTCAATTTTTTGTCATAGGGTGCTGGCAGATTACGGGCCTCCTATAGCTGCTGCCAGGCCCCTAATCTGCCATGGGCCCCTATACCGCCTCCTCATGCTGCTGCCAGGTCCACAGTCTCTCATGGGTCCCTGTACGGCCTCCCATTGCTGCTGTCTCCATCGCCACACTCTGCCATGTGCCACTTTCAGGTCTCCTCACACACTGCTGGTGTGTTCCATTTTTTGTCATAGGGTGCTGGCAGATTACGGGCCTCCCATTGCTGCTGCCAGGCCTGTAATCTGCCATGGGCCCCCGTACCGCCTGGTCACGCTGCTGCTGGGTCCACAGTGTGACATGGGTCCCTGTACCACCTCCCATTGCTCCCACTCTGCCATGTGCCACTTTCAGGTCTCCTCACACTCCTGCTGGTTTCCATTTTGTCATAGGTTGCTGGCAGATTACAGGCCTCCCATAGGTGCTGCCAGGCCCCAAATCTGCCATGGGCCCCGTACCGCCTGGTCTCGCTGCTGCTGGGTCCACAGTGTGACATGGGTCCCTGTACCGCCTCCCATTGCTCCCACTCTGCCATGTGCCACTTTGAGGTCTCCTCACACTCCTGCTGGTTTCCATTTTGTCATAGGTTGCTGTATGGCCTCCCATTGCTGCTGCCTCCACCGCCACACTGTGGCTCCAAACACTGGTTTTGGCCCCGTGACTGGCCAAATGAGTGAAGTATGCGGTGATTCTAAGATCGACAGCACTCATCTGCATGTCATACTGACTGACAGTATTATTTCTCTTCCCCAGCAGACTCCAAGGGCATTTAAATTAAAGGTACAGTGTTCTGCACTAATATGAAGGCTCTCTGAAGCCTAGAAACACCCTTTTTTAAGTTAAATTCACAGCGAATATATTCGACTCGAATCGAATATTGTCCACGAATTCGCCGAATCAGTCGAATCGAATTTTTGAATACTTCGCTCATCTCTAGCCGTGACCCTTTAATACAGTTCCTCATGTTGTGGTGACCCCCAACCATAAAATTATTTACCCAGTAATTATAATTCATGAGTGTCGTTTTACCTCCAATACTGCTGCTTTCAACACAGTAGCTGCTTTTAACAGAGTAGCTGCTTTCAACACAGCTGCTGCTTTCTACACAGTAGCTGCTCTTTACACATCGGAAATATGTGTTTTCTGATGGTCTTAGGGGACCCCTGTGAAAGGGTCGTTTGACCCCCAAAGCGGTCGCGACCCACAGGTTGAGAACCACTGCTCTATGGTCTGTGTCCATGTATGTGTATGAGAGTGTGTGCAAAAGACTATTTGGAACCTAAAGTGATTCTAAATAAAAACATGCTATACTTACCTGCTCTTTGCATTCGTTTTGTACAAAGCAGCCCAGTCCTCCTCTTCTGGGGTCCACCACCAGTGCTCCTGGCTCCTCCCCCTTCCAAGTACCCAGGGCTGGTGCTAGACTATTTTGCGCCCTAGGCAGGATCAGCTACTTGCACACCCACCCACCCCCCAAAAAACAAACAAACTGAGAGTGATCTCCTTATAACTAGATCAGCCTTGAAAAGGATACATGTTTAGTTACAGATGATTATTAGAAGGACAGTTGTAAGAAGATGAGCTTTAGTGATGATGTATTTTATACTGATCACGAGGCACATGGTATATAGAGAGATGAACTGTTGTGTATAGGGATCGGTCATGTGTGAAAAACATGCTATGGATGACATGCCTGGGTCCCCAGTCATCAGTCCTGTACAAATGGAGATGAGAGGATTCCAATGGATGTGAATGATGAATTCTTTACATTCCACAAGAAACAAGAGATGGATGTGTGTATGTGATACCATCTATGGAGATCTCCATTCATTCCCACCCAGGGCTGTAGATGGGGGGAACATCCGACTAGGAGACCCAAACAAAGCCCCACTCACACTCCCTCACTCACCTTGCTCTTCACTTTCACAGTGCTGCTGGCCACATATCCTAGAGTCCGCTGAAACTTTGATAATTTTCATAGTTCTCCCCCCCCCCCCCCCCTCTCCTCAACACCACCCAGCCAAGTTCTCCCCAGGCTCCAGATCGCCTCATTTCTTTCAGCTCTGTGCACAGTGCCTATGCTGCTCATGTTTGGAAGGATCACAGAGTTGTGATTACAAGAGGCCGAACCTCCCTGATACTCCACGTCCCTGTCTCTGTAGCTGCAGTGCCATCTTGGTGGTGTTGGGTAGCTGCAACCTCAGTTTGGTAACTATGCTAGTGAAGCACAAACCATAAATCAATCGGGGCCAAAGCAATGCTGGTGAAGCCAGTGGAGAGCAGGGAAACCAGTAGATGTGGCTGTGCCCTAGGTGGCAGTGTCCCTAGTGGTAGCGCTAGCCCTGCAAGTGCCCCCATAGCAAGCAGCTTGCTATGGGGGAACTCGTGTGCTTGCTCCTCACTGGCTGTGATTGACAGCTGCTCCTGCTGCTTCTCATCTGTCCGATGAGGAGAGGGAGGGGAAAGAGACGCTGCTCTCTGGCTCAGTTAAGTAAGTAAGAGGGGAGTGCTGCATGCAGAAGGATTTTCATCTTAAGGCATAGAATGCATTAAGGGAACAAAAAACACCTTCTGCCTTTAGAACCTTTTCAGAGTATCTTTGGGTATTTTTGTATTTGATAATGTATTTTCACCAAAACTTGTCACGTTTTAAATTTATGCACACCTGTGGAATGGCGATAAACTTTTCATTAGGCAGCACTTTAAAAGCCTTTACATGCACCCAGTTTAAAATTACACAGAAGGTCTAGTGGTAGAATTATTGCTCTCGCTCTGACGTTTTCAGCTATACTTCATGTGTGGAGCAATCACCATTTACATATGCATGCAGGAACTACATGTGAGTTTCCATTTTGCGCATGAGCACAAGGAAATGGAGGTGCTTTAAAAATATTTATTTCTTTATTTATTTTTACTCTCTACCTTTACTTTTTTTCTTTTTGGGATTGACTTTATTGCTATTGGAAGGGGTGAACAATATCCTTTCTGATAGCATGGACCATGACAGGTGCTCTTTTTATAAAGATCGCAAACAGAAGAGAACTGTACTAGGATCAAGCAGCCATGATCCTTGTACAACCACTTCAACCCAAGCCCTACAGAGGGGAAGTGGTTAAACGTTATCTTTAAATCTCCGAAAACAGTGGATTCCAACCCTTCCCCATTCTATCCAGAAATAAAGCAAATATATTGGCTGGAACTGGATTTTAAATCCTGCAATGGCTGTACACAGCAGTATTGTTAAACAGGCTAATAACATGAATGAGCACAGAAAGGGGCCAAATGTCATTTGTAGACATCTAGCTTCTAAAACGGCACTCCTGTACTAATTAACCTACATAACGTTTCTGGGAAAATAAAAAAATTAAACATTTCTTGCTGGATATAATAATTGAAGTGCCATCCAGGGTGAAATCACTAGAAGGCATTCTGAATATGTACCAAATGTCATTAGTGTCATAAATCAGAGACAGAAAACAATCGACTAGCAGGTAAACTGAATCCTTTGGTTAAGTATCTGCTGACTTATTCAGATGTGTTCCTTGCAGATCACATAGGTTTCCTATGGTCATCTACGTAAAAAGGTGAACTCCAGGGACAAAAGACATTTTGCCCTTCCAGGGCATCCCCCTCTTTGTGTGATCAGTCCCCCAGAGCCTGTTCCTATCACTGCCTGATTGACAGCAGCTCTCTGAGGTCATCCTATACAAAGCAAGGCCAGAGTCCTGCATTGTATGGGAGGGCATTGAGGGCCTTCCCACATTTCAGAACATCGGATGGGAAGGGAGAGTGCTGGCTGCCACAGTAGAGAGGAGGACGGTAAATTTATTGCCTTTTGTCACCATTCGCCAGGCAAATGGAGCAGTTAACTCTTGCAGTTGGAAGGGGGACCTACTACGAGGGTAAATGTTTTTGAATGACTATTGCATAGTTGGGCAAAAATAGAGCTTTCTTTTAGTGATATTTGATCACTACTGGGAATTTTATTTTTTGCCAAATAAATGAAAAAAGACAGAAAATTTTAGAAAAAAGTTTTTCTTTGTTTCTGTTATTTAATTTTGAAAATAAATAATTGTATTCTGCTACATTTATTTGGTGAAAAAAACCCAAATCAGTCTATATTATTTAGTCTGTAGGAAAGTTACAGTATAGAGTCCGCAAACTATGGTATATATCTAAATTGATCAATTCTGTTGTTCTGATGGCCGATCTCATTTCTTGAGGCCCAAAAATTAAAGGACAGTACAGATATCCCCCAAATTACCCCTTTTTGGAAAGTAGAGAGTCTAAGGCATCTAGTAACAGGCATGGCGAGTTTTTGTCATAATAGTTGTAATTTTTTTGTCATAATTTTTTGGGAAAAATTTAAATGAATTAAAAATGTTTCATTTTTTTCTTACATACTGTCACATGTGCAGTACAGCATCATCATAGAACGTATGTGATGGTGAACAGAGACACTAACTGATAACAGTACAAAAAAAAAATTTTTTTTTTCAATATTTTTCATTATATTTTTATTATTTTGTGGTATTTTTTATAATAAACTGTGACCAGAGTAATATAATGTTACCATAGTAACAATGTACTACTCTGGGGAAGTGATCAGTATTTTTATTTTTTCACATTATGATTGCTTATAGCAATGAATTGCATTGCTATAAACAGGAATTTTACTGAATGAAATTGATTCATTCAGTTTGTTTTGTTTCTTTTGTGTTACTGTGATTGGTCACAGATAATCATATGACACAGATGGGCTGTGATTAGCCCAGTCTGTACCATGTGATCACTGTGACCAATCACAGCTAGTAACACAATTGTATACAATGGATGGCATGAAAGGAAGCCATTCACTGTTTGCAATTGTCATGTGACCTGCTGTAATTGGTCACAGCGGTCACAGCACTGGCAACGGGTCAGTACACAGATCAGTCATCAGCTGTGTCTGATGAACACAGCTGGTGACAGATCTCATTGCAGCGCGGTTCTGGGGGTGTGCAGGAGGTGGCAATCATATGATGTCCACCTGGATCAGCAAAATTCCTGTCCAGTCATCATTGTACTATCTGTGGGAACTGGTAAAGCTATTTTCTAAGCATTAAACTAAAGGGCCTGGTATGGCTTTTAGGAGGAACCCCACGAACTTCCCCCCGCCATTTTTGGGAGGTCAGGTTACCCTTAAAAGTCCTACAAGGTCTAAAGGGCTTGGTATGGCTTTTAAGGGGAACCCAACTCACTTTTGAATTTTTTACTGTGGGGTCCCTCCTAACCTTCCTACCAGACCTAAAGACTCTGGAAAGGATTACGGGGGGACCTCATGCTGTTTTTTTTTTAATAAAAATGTACTAAAAAAAAAAATGTCAGTCCTGCTGCAGCAGGTTCTATACATTATACAGAACAGTACATTTGCAGGTAGTTTAAGGGGACCCCCAGGCATGATATTTAAAGGATTTTTTCTTTCTGTTTTTTTTTTTGTACTTTAAGCACTGAAAAATGACTGCCCGTTTAAAAACTGTACTTTAAAAAAAAAAATTTCACTGATTCATGTCCCTCAG